AGGGGAGTTGGACTAGATGAACTTTAAGGGTCCCTTCCAAATTAAATGATTCTTTGACTATGGTCAACAGAATCTTCTTCAAGGATATTACAGTTAAGATCCCTATCACTTTTTCTTCCTAAACATCAGAATGTCTATAGAGAAATGAAGTCATAAGAGTGGTGAAATGGCAAAGAAACAAATAACTAAGTAATTAACTCAGTAAGTAAATAAATGCCAAACCAAACAAACAACAGCAACAGGAAAACACTAGGAAAACCTTGAAAGAGCATGGAAAAAAATTGTTTTAATTAATTAGATTTTCATGCTCTGCTAACTCCTAAGGTTTGCTCTTTTCATTAAGTTCTACATCACCCATACAGTACTAACAGACTGGTCTTAGGCATAGTAGAAAAGAAGGAACAAGAGCTATACTTTTGATACTATACTTAGATCAGAGAGGAAGTAGGCAGCTAAAGGCTTGGAAAAGTATTGAACATCCAATTTTAAAAACAGGACTTGAAAAGGAAGATCTGCATGGATCCACTTCCATCTATAAAGAGAAAAAAAAAAAACTGACTGACAGATGAAAAAGATATATTAAAATTGTGACAATTAACTGAAAGGAAGTAGCACAAAACCCAAAAGAAACATAGGAAACGTGATCAGCCACACAGAATTAGAGCAGTAAAACTGACATACATCCTGCTTCATACAAACAGATGTAGCTGCGGAAAATTTCATCAGTACAAGCTGTCCAGTTGTGCATCCACACGCACACCATGGAGCTCTGCTGGATGGAGAACATCCCGTTGACAACAAACTGCTGGGTGCCATCCAAAGACAACACTCCCATGCCAGTTTGGAAACAAAACAGGCCTGATCCTGCATCAGCCCTTAGCTAAAAGTAAAACTAAACTCATATCCCTCATTGTTAACATAGGAGCTTGCACATTTGAGTCTGAAAGTTGGATAATTGCAGGCTTTACTCTCTAAGCACTTTCTGAGTTTAATTACATGGCAAATAATGGTACTGATTCCCACAGATGCTCTGAATTGAGTTTAACTATGTCATAATAACACTTTTATGATACATGATCACCTATCTGAGAGAAGCTGAGAATGGTTTGTTGCTGCTATTCCAACTCCACAGTCTAAGTGAACTAACAATAGGGATTACCTCCCGCTGACTGCCCCACTGAAGTTACCCAGGGCTCTGGAAGTGAGACAGATAGGAAAAAACATCACCATTTGAGAGAAACAAGTTCAATAGCCATTGATTTCCAAGAGGCTTAACCCAGCTTTTTAATAATCGGTAGCAACACACATTACCAAAGTTGAAAACAGGAATTCCATATTCAAAGCCTTTTAAACAGTATTTCCCATGACTTTCCAGTACTAGAAAGTCATACATGCACCACTTTTTAGACACAGTTTTTGATAGATAGCACAGGAGCAACTGCTGCTTCCTTGATCTGCTGGCGATCCCCATGTCTACATCTAGAACTTCTCCACCAAGAAGATGACAGGGATGCACCTTTGTGCATAGGTAGACTTATCAGTGCCCACCTAAAAGCAGAAGCTGAAGGGACATCTACATATAATACTATTTGCTTGGAGAAACAGCATCACTGATAGGACAGAGTGTGCTCCTCTGCACTTCTGTGAGATTTCTAATTCAGTAGCAAATAAAGTCTGTCAGCTAGAAGTCTCACTTGGTCTCAAGAATCAACTGAGGGACACTGTTTAGTGGGAAGTATTGGTGATAGGTGGACGGTAGGACTGGATGACCTCAGAGGTCTTTTCCAACCTTGGTGATTGTATGATTCCATGATTTCATCATTATTCATATCAAGCAGCTGCTGCACCTGCCATCATCTCCTGTTTCCTGCAGTTTTCCTTTCCAGTGGTCAAATCAGACCAACAAGAGAAAGTCACTGCTGCTAAATACTGCTGGGATTTAACTAATATAGGCCACTACTTTCCCAGGCTGTATTTCCCCTGACAGCAAAAGGGCTTTTGCTGCCTTACACTTCCAGCTGCATACGTGATGTAAATGCTGTTGAACTATTATAATTAGTTTGCATTATTTTTGAGAATTTTACTGTTCCCAGTCATCTTCTTTCCAAAGAACTTCAAGCCAGTTTCACCCATCTGTATATCTTCTTTCACTCTGTCCATTTTGAGGCAATAAAAGCAGGAAATATCTCATTACGTTTACCCACCACATTTAGTGCAACACAGCTCTAATAAGGTTAAGTGAAAGAACAGTGTTTTCTTTGGGAATTTCAAAATTTGTCAAAATCCCTTGAGCTGGCCATGAGAAGATGCATGTTGTGCTTCAGTCAAACAAATTTATTACTTTGGTTTAACAATTTGAGTCAAATAATTTTTCTCATGCCAGTTCACTGTTAATCCCACATGAACTGCAAGAATAAATTACTCATTTGGTTTAGGAATATTTTTAATGACCAGGCTCCCATGCCAAACTGCTTCCCAAGGCACATGCACTGTGATATTCCTATGTAGCTGTCACAGTGTCAAAAGGAAAACTCAAAACATAGAATAATATTCCCCCTGGGAGCAAAGAAAACTGGGGAATCCTGCTGTTCTCACTGATCATTCTTCTGATCTACTCAAATAATCTGTCATGGCTTTACCCTCCCTTTCTATTTCAGCAAGAAAAAAAAACATCACTGTGCAGGGGAGAAACAGCACAACTTAAGGAGGCTTTAGGTGGTGAAGGTGCTGGTTCCCAAGCAGCAGCATGCACATGTGGCAGTGCTCCCTCAGCAGGGACATCCACATCATTTCTTGTGCTGTTGCCAAATTCCGTGGGCACCTAGAAGCCTGACATCTCTATCCTGCTGTCACTTCAGGTGAAGTGATCAATGAATGAATGGCACCAGTATATAAATCTGTTTTCTGAAGAGAAATAAATGAAAAATCCCAGCTTAGCAAAACCCAGATCCCCCTCCACTAGCTTGGTTTTAGGCCAGCTATTCCAGAGTATGCCCAATCTCAAGGAATTATTTCACTAAAAATCGATGTTTAGGTTCAAAGTTTTCAAGTTGAAGCCCAAGCCATCCCTTGTCTGCCTAACAGCAGCTCAAGGAACTCACATTGAGAAGTTGCAGCCTGCAGTTCCTCAAACTCTTATGCCACTGCATCTGTTCCATTTATGCTGGAAAATATCAGGTTCAGAAACCATACACCTCCTAAGAAGTCTCTCATCACTACAATAAAAACTGTTTTCACTGTACAAGTGATTTCCAGATACCTCTGTATGTCCAATGACACACCAGTTCCTCCTGAATCTACTGATGAATTATTCTTCTTGAAGGCTCCAGTGCTTATTAGTACTCAAGAGATCGCACTAACACTTTGGAAGATTTTATTTTTTGCTGCATCTACTCCTGTTTCATCCACAGTCATTAAGCTCTTGCTATACATGGGACAAAGTACAGCATTAGCTGCTCTGTTGACTTCAGTACTCGTGGTAAGAACACAGTCACTCTATGTCAAACTGTTAGACTTTGGTTAAGAAAACACAAGATTTTTAAAAACACACTCCCAGAGCCAAGTTCAAACTGCACAAACTTTGCTGCTGGCCAAAGCTTTGCTGTAAATTATGCCTGTAACAGCCAAGACTAAAAACAGCAAGGCAAGCTTACACGTGTGTAAGTATTTCATAGCTCTTGTTTAAAGGCTATTTCCATTGCTTGCACCGAACAGTGTGCTTATCAGCAGCTGTATATTTTTGACATACTTGAGTCCAAAAAAAAACCAAAACCGTGGACAAAAAGTCAGACGAAGTCAAAGCGATGTGAAACCTAGCACAGTATCTGGATAGAAAGCTTCAGGTTGTCACTGATCTCTTCCATGCCTCTACCATTGCACCTTCAAGGTTCAAAACACAGGTCTCATTTAAATAGCCAAGTTAGGAAAAAAGAATAAAATAACACAGCTGATAAATGTCTCTATCTGGAGCCTAAAACGAATCCCCAGCGAGTCTGGGGATGGGGTGAAAAACTGGACATGAGAGGTTTCATAAAACACTGGGTAAGACAGCGGTAAGGCAAATTTGCAAGTGTTTCATAGGGAAACCATAAACCATAACTGAATAGAAAGCACTAACCAAAACATCCTCTCTGCAGAGTGAACTCTCTTCCTTCACCAGATCCAGTAGACAGACTGCCTCCACTACAAACATTACACTGAAGTGCCCTGAACCTGAGCACTGCCTGAAAGGGCTTACAATTAACTGCACCCAGCAGAACATATTAAGATGGTAACCCCACTGAAACCACTGTCAAGGAAAGTCTGGATGTCAATCAAGTCTATCATCTACTGGAAATACAACGTGGAGCTGCGACGGCACAGAGACAAGAGCAACAAGCACCAGTAGTCAACTTCCGTAATAAAGTATGTGCTTTCGTTTCACAGCTGTTTACCAGCACAGCCCGCTGCTGCCACGGGAGCCTCAACCGTGACAGCAGCATCCAGCAGCTGCCCCCGCCGCTGCTAGGACTGGGGCACGGCTGGTCTGCCAGCCTGCAGCCCCTGCCACACCTCCACCCACTTCGCCAGCAGCTAGAAAAACCCTGCTTGGAAGAAGGGGGTAGAAAAAGAGGAAAAAGAAAGAAAAAGAGGG